ATGAAAGTTCCAAATTAAATTGGTGAGGCAGGGAAAGGAAGTTCTATATAGATGATCCCCAAAATGTCTTTTCCCCAATCAGATTTTTTTTAAATTTAATGTAATTTTCTGTAAAAATGCCATTATAAAAGCAATCAATCAATTTTTTGTGCCTTACACAAAGGGACACACAGATTCTTCTGTGAAAATACGGACTTTTAGCGTTGTTTCACATTGAACCATTCAACATTTAGAATGGTTTAATTTTAAATTATTTCTTAGTATTATGATTTGGCGAAGTCAGTATTCTACATTACATTGTCCTATATTTCTCTTCCATATCTTTAATTCCTATCCTCATCTCTTTGTTTTATTGCAGGAGACACCAACAAATGGAACACAAATTAACTTAAGCCTACACGGGGCTGGTGAGACCTGAAAGAGGGTAGGGAAAACTGATACATGAAGATGTGTTCAAAACTAACTTAATGGTGATTATAGTGATAATAGGTGGGCATGCTTAGGTATGATGTGAAAGGACATACTCATTTGGATGCCAAAAAATGAACTAACATTTGTAAATAACTTTGAAGATATAAGAGAATGTGTTTAAATGTGGTGTTGAACTTGGGACTTGAGTTTTTGTAGGTCACCTAATGTTTTGTTTAGTAGTTATTGGAAAACGAAAAGATATTCTTATTGAAAATATAGCCTTATGTATTGTTTCTGATTGTAATCTGCAGGAATAATAATGTGACTGACTCACTGCCCTCTTTCCAATTGAATCCTAAGCTCTGCCTTTACAAATTCATTGCAAATTGAGACTCTAGAGGTTTCTCATTTACAGTCCCAGAATAGAGCATGACCACTGACTTCTAGTGAATATTTTTATTATTTCAATGCAAAATAATTAAATGGATTAAGACCTCTGTGCAGGATAGGAAACTGAAATTTTGGGAGAGCTATGAAATACTGCTTTCTGTAAGGCTTCTTTCCATCTTTGCTAATCGGCGACATTCAGTTGGTTTCCCAACATTACAGTTGCCGTAACTGACTTGCACAACTCTGGGATTTTTTTGGAGTCATGTGTTCACCAGAGAAATGATAGGTGAGGTAGAAGTGTCTTTCTGTGAGATTCACAAAGGAGATGCAGTCTTTGAAAAGCTTTTGTTGGAAGAGTAATTGTTTTAATCGGACTCATAGCAGTGGAGTGTTAGAACCTGTCTTTCAAAACACATGTATTTTTTCAGGTTTCTTTCTTGCAGCTCATGGGGATTGAGAAAAATAATGGACTTACGTTTCCTTTTTTTCCTTCCAGGGAAAGTGGAGAAGCTGTGCTCTGTGCTTTCTATCTGACCTGTTGGGAGTACATTTTGGAGCATGTTCGCTACTTAGCAGGGAACTTATTCGGGTATGATCCATTTAAAAAAAAAAAAAACTTGTTGATTTTGTTTATTACATCATTTTATCCAATTTAATATTGTCCTTATGTTACTGCAGCTGAAAGTGGTTTCTCCAGTAATACATATTTGGTGATATTTAATGAGTTAAAAATTCTAAAAACAATATTCTTATAGTTGTCAGTTGAGTCATGCTGTATGATAAAAGTAATCCTTCACTTAAGTTTGGTTTGGGTTTTTTTCTTGTTTTTATAAATGCGGTCAAATTCAGTGACACTTGTGCGTTGAAAAGATTTTTCCTTCTAGGCACAAGAGGTTGTAAATGTAAAGAGTGAATATGGGTGAAAAGAAGCCAGAACCCTTGGACTTTGTAAAAGATTTTCAGGAATATCTCACACAGCAGACTCACCATGTAAATATGATTTCTGGATCAGTTAGTGGAGACAAGGAAGCAGAGACTCTTCAGGGAGGTAAGCCAATTTCAGTGCTATCAAATTTTGGTTTTTTGAGAATGACTGCACTGTTTACATTCTAGATAATTATGCAGACTACTACAGTTGTATAGAAGCATTTCTGATAGTTGTTTTCACATGCCAAAAGATGTGTATGTACCTTTGTTTTAATTCGGGTATGTTCTTACAGTTCTGTATGTATAAAGACCAAGGGCATAGAGAAACAAAAGTTATTTGGCATATTGTCACAGCATGATAGATAGTATCCCACTGATTTGTGATTGAAATCTCTGTTGCGTTATTCACAGCTGGGACAGAAGGTGATCAGAATGGTCTGGATCATCCTTCTGTTGAAGTTTCACTGGATGAAAACTCAGGAATGTTAGTGGATGGGTTTGAAAGGACATTTGATGGAAAGTTAAAGTGTCGATACTGCAACTATGCCAGCAAAGGAACAGCACGGCTCATAGAGCATATCAGAATTCATACAGGTATGAAATATCCTGCAGTACGTTGCTGTGAGACATGGTGGTACTAACCCAGTGGTACAATTTGCATGTGAGGAGTTAGCATCTTCAAGCAGTGTGATAGTTCTTAGAGTTACTCAACAGTTAGAACTGGTTTGTTCTTTTTTAATCAATTAGAACTGGTTTGTTCTTTTTTAATAGGCTATTTTTTTAAAGGGGTGCCATGTATCTATTTAAATTATGCAAATTCCTACTTACATTTATTATTGCAGACTAATGAATTTGAAGTAACTATGTGTGGGAGTAAAGTTTGGCATGAAAGCATCAGTGTAAATTGAAGGGCCCTAAATGTGACTTTTAGTTTTTTCTTGCTAATCAGAAAAGTGAAATGTCACGTGAAGATTTATGGGGCTCTTCTTCCTCTGTTGTTTAGCTATGAAAATATTCCTGTTTTGTGCAGCATCCTAGATGTGGAAGTACAAAAGCCAGTAATAAGAAGAAAGTTTTCTTACTGGTAGAATATTCAAAGCTGAGGGCATAAGTGATTAATAACAGTAATGAAAAGAAAAAATACTGTGGCTTACTTAAGAGCATTTGCCACTGTTGAGTTTGTAAAGCTGAAAAGGAAAACTCTCAATACAGGTTAAAATATCCTAAACTGTTCACGAAGTCAGCTCAGAATTCTTGGCAAATGAGAGAAAACAAATGAAAGGTCCTTGTGAAATCTGACTTTGGTGCCTGCCGAGTATGTTACTTCAATACAGAAGACCCTGCAGCGGTGGCTTGTTTCGACAAGGCATAATGGGGTAGAAAATGGCAACCAACTAGAAACCAAAGAGTTCTGAGGTTCAGACTCTGAAGATCTTGTAAATTATTCTCTTGTGCTACCGTGAGCTACCTTGGTGTGTAGCTGTTGCTGTTTTCAGGTTCCCAGTGGAAATTTTGTGTTGTTCCAATAGTGGATAAAATACTGTGGCTTGTGTGCCTGCATTTGACACACTGTTAATGCCATGGCTTGCTGCAGATCTGCAAAGCAGCAATGTCTTCTGGAGCAGGTTTTTTTTTTGTCTAGTTTTTCATAAAGCAGTTACAGCTTCACCTACCATTTGCCTCATATGGTATGGTGACAACGAGAGATATTTTTCTTTTGGCAGCTTTACTCTGTGCAGTGCTATTTCTGAGCTTGTGAAATGAGGGTCATGTAGTGGGAGAAACTGTACTGCAGACTTAACGCAGTTCACTGTGGCACTTTAGGATGACTTTTAAATGGTACTTAAAGATGTAGAAGTAACATCAACTATAAAATTTCATGTCTTTTCAGTAGTATATAGCTATTGCCATCTAAAAACTTGAATCCCCAAGTGACTACTGGCCAGTTGTCAACATGACCAGATAGACTGCTAGAGCTGTGACAGGAAACATAAGTGGCTACTAGAAGATGTTCGTATTGTGTGTTTGCTGATTCTTGAGATGTTTTTGATAGCTTTGGTGTGCATGGGGTTCCTCAAACAGAATGACTGACATGTTGTTACTTAATGTCAGATGTCATAAATTTTATACATACGAGAGAGCAAAAAGTCAAAGCTTCTTTAAGTTTCAAAATGTGGGTATTGGTATGGTGTCAGCATTCCTTCTTTTACTCTAGGAAGTTGCCTACCTTTTGTATACTCTCAGATCTTCGGTTAACAGTTCTTTTTTGTTTTCAGAGTGCTTTCTTACCCTGCTGTTACTTCAGAGAGTAGAGGTCACTATGTGGCTAGAGGTAGCAGAACAATACCTGCTGCAGATTGTGAGCATTTCAGCATGGTTGTCACATAATGTACACAAAAGCAAGAAAGATTCCCACCAAAAATTGGGATGCTGAGAAATGTGCTCCGAAATACTGACACAGTGGTCATTGTTCAGAAGCAAACATTCCATGAGCTCCACAAATCTGGTTTTTAGGGCAAAGCATAATACTTTGGGTTTGTGCCTTGACTAGGTTGTTATGGTTGCAGTATATGATAATGTTAGCATTATACCTTTGCATGTGGGATGACTGTCATCTTGGTGCTGCTGCAGGTAATCCCGTTATCAGAGGGTGTATGCATGACCCATTTGGTCAAAGAAACTTTTACAAAGGTGCCAAATCGATAGCACACATCACCCTACTGCAAAAATCATGCAGTCTGAACTATTGGTTTAAGAAAGCTAGCTAGCAGTGAGAGGGGGCACAGGGGGTGGCAGAGAGCTGCAGCGCTTGCACGCGCCCTTGCACACTGAACGCTTGGTCGCCAGGTTACTGCTTCAAACCCGTCTGATGCCTAGTGAAACACTGGTCACTGTACAATGATAACAGTTCATTTCCCTACCCCAGTCTGTTCAGTTTTGTAATAGAGACAAGAATCTCAGGCTGCCAGAGGTCTCTTTCTGTAGAGTTTCCCCTTTGCCTTTTTACAATGCGTTTCATATCCTTAATTTTAAGAAAGCGCTGCATGGTGTCCTGATAGCAAGAGCATTTTGCTGTTACCTTAATGGCCCTTCAGAAAGCCCTGCTTTGTTTCTTTGTACAGAGACGGGGCACTCCAGAACAAGGAAGGGGTTTTTTTGTTTTTACTTAAGGGCAAGGAGATCCAAGACCTGAGTATAGTTTTGTTCAGAAGCATGGTGAGGAAGTGCGGCAAAGGGCCAAGAGGTGGATTGCATCAACTGTGAAGGCTCAGAGAGACTGAATTGGCATTAAAATAGGGAAGTGATAGCTGATGAGTAGCCTCAGAGCAATGTAAGTAAATAGGTAACGCATCCTGGATAACATGCAAGTGTGGCAGGGTATCTGCCGAAGTAATTATGACCCAGGCATGTCCAAGCAACCATTATTAAGTGCAACTTCCTGCAGAATTAACTTCATGCTGAGTCTGACAGCAGTGTAATTAGTAGTTCACCAGCTGTGTTGTATTAAGGGCATGTAACATGGGATACAAATTTCTGTGTAACTAGTTCAGAACGAAATAAGGCCATTCAGATTGTCAAGTTCTTTGCGAATGCAGGGAGTTTGTCAGTCTTTTTACATTGTTGTTTGTACCAAATCTACGGATCTTTACACACACATTTATATCTGAATACATATATGTGCTTATGGAGAAATCATGGTTTCAGTTGGTGCAAATAGGGTACTTAGAGGTAGCACAAAAATTATTTACTGTCCTCTTGAAGAGCCAGTGATGTAGGGGAAAAAAAAAATCTCAAGTATCCCACGTTGTGATTCCAAACTGTGGGATGCTCAACACGGGAAGGGCTTTCTGTGTCAGTCGTATGCCATCTTACTGGGCCTGTACAGTGCTCGCCAGAGATCTGAATGCAGCTTTTACAGTTGTTCTAGACAGATTTTGAAAGCCACAAAACAGATATATTGCCCTGTATTTAAAATAGTAGAAAATGCTTTAAAAAACCCCATAAAGGCTGAAGAGAAGGAGCCCACTCACATTTTCTTGGAGTTTGTCATGCTGTGTGGCAAGAGAATCAGTTGCACAACAGTGATTTAGCAATTGACCTGGCATTCCAGATAGGAAGGTAATATGGTGTTTCGTTTCAGCATCTGAACACACATCAAAAGCTTTAGGCATGTCTGATATTGCAGACCTGGATATAAAAACTCCTAAAAGATTAGGCTATGAAAGGAAAATCAGAAGTCCCAAAATGTGTTGGCCTGTAATTATGTTTGAAAGTTTTCCGAGTACTTTTGAAAGTGTTAATGTGAATATCTCTAAATGTCATTTAATAGAAGAACAAAGCTCTACCTATCAGAGAGGAGAATATCTGGTACTATTATGTCTGGGAGAGCACACAGCTGCCTAGGGATTAGCTGGCTTTTGTTTTCTTTAATAACTGTTTAGCCACAGGATCCTTTTCCAAAATTCAGTTCTTGAGTGGATGCATGTGTACAGGGATTATTTTGATAATAGTTCCAGGATGTTTAAAAATAGGAATGTTTGGAAGATATCAAAAGGGTACCCTCCCTCAATGTTTAAACACAGTTACCATTAAGAATGATTACATTTTGGTGGTACAGACATTCCTGCAGCCAACTGTTTATGTGCTTTATAGGTGAAGAAGAACTTGGATCCAGTTAAGAGCACCACTCAAACATCGTTGCATTCAGTCCTTGGATTGTTGCTGCAATTCCTGCTCAGGTTATCTGTTATGCTAATTCTGGTCACATTTTTTTCTTAGGCTTACTGTCACTTGGGTGAGGCAGAGATGTCTAAATTTACTCCACTCTTCCACCAGCTGAAGTCAAGACTAGCAGTGACTCTGAATCTGAACTCTTTGATCAGCAGCTCCCAGTTAGCTACTTTCTGTTCCATGAACAGCCTTTTTCAAGTGCTCCGAGATGTTGTAGTATAATCTATTTTAATTTTCCAGGTGAGAAGCCGCACAGATGCCACCTGTGTCCCTTTGCATCAGCTTACGAACGTCATCTGGAAGCTCACATGAGATCGCATACTGGTGAAAAACCATACAAATGTGAATTGTGTTCCTTTCGCTGCAGTGACAGAAGCAACTTATCTCACCACCGCAGGCGCAAACATAAAATGGTGCCTATCAAGGGTACAAGGTCTTCCCTAAGCAGCAAGAAAATGTGGGGGGTTTTGCAGAAGAAGACCAGCAATTTGGGGTACAGCAGAAGAGCATTAATTAATTTGAGTCCACCTTCCATGGTGGTTCAGAAACCAGACTACCTTAACGATTTCACTCATGAAATCCCGAATATCCAGACTGAAGCGTATGAGAGCATGACAAAACCAACGCAGAGCAGTGGGTTGCCGAGAGATCCACAAGACCTCATGGTAGATAACCCTTTAAACCAGCTCTCTACGTTAGCCGGACAGTTATCTAGCTTGCCACCTGAAAACCAAAATCCAGCCTCTCCTGACGTTGTTTCCTGTCAAGATGAAAAGCCTTTCATGATACAGCAGCCTGCTGCACCAGCAGTCGTTTCAGCTGTGTCAGCAAATATTCCTCAAAGTTCATCTCCAACCAGCCCAGACCCTCGGCCTACACACAATCAAAGGAACTATAGTCCTGTGGCTGGTCCCAGCAGCGATCGCAGCGCCCACACCAGTACTCCCAGCATAAGTAACAGTCAACCAAGTACTCCAGCTCCGACCCTTCCAGTTCAGGACCCTCAGCTTCTGCATCACTGCCAACACTGTGACATGTACTTTGCGGACAATATCCTTTATACTATTCACATGGGATGTCATGGATTTGAAAATCCTTTTCAGTGCAACATATGTGGGTGTAAGTGTAAAAATAAGTATGACTTTGCTTGCCATTTTGCAAGAGGCCAACATAGTCAACATTGACTTGAGACCATGCTTTCGTTTAGTTTTTTAACATATTACAGTATATTTTTCATACTTGCTGAAGGAAAGCTTGCACGTTCCCATAAGGAATCTTCATGTTAATCAGTTCGACAAAAGAGTCAAATTTATTTCTATGTTGTCATAAAACTTGCCAGGGAAATTTTGTGTAAGATGTGGTTGATATTTTATATGTAGCCTTTCAAAAAAGCTGAGAGAGCGCTATAAGAATTGGAAAGCATTTACATGTTTTGGTTGCTAAATTTAAGTTGCTTGCACTTAATCCCAAGAAACATTCTACAAATGTAGAAGCAGAGCATGTGTCCTGAAACACAGGATGCAATTATCGTACTATTGCTAGGCAAGACAAAATACATTAACCATAAAATGCGAAAGGTTAATGCAATGACATAATGGTTACTTTGGAGGCATATTTATCCTTAAAAACTTAGCCACTACTCCAAACTGGAAAACCAAACAGAAGCAACTTTCACATACAAATTCAATTTGATGTAAAACTTGCTTTAATCTGATGAAGGTTAAGAAGTTTTTGCTTAGTATAGTCTACTCTTCATGCTCAGGCTCAAACACTAAGTATTATTTTTAAAACTTGTCACAAAATTAGAAGATAACAGGTTATTGTGAACGAAACTGGTAGGAAAAAAGAAACAGTTAACAGCTTGTCACTCACTAGTTACACACAGGAAAAATTAAACGTGACACCTTATTTTAAACTACATTTACCAAAATTTTACATGTCATCCTTTTTAAAAGGAGGTAGTTTATAAGCAGTTGTAGTAAAGAGCTTGTAGAACTAGTTTATATTCCGTGAGATTTTTAACTGCCTTAAACTAATTTGTACAGATATTTAAAATTTGCACAATTAGACTTCTGTCTTACTGATAGGAGTTCTAATAGAAACAAACAAAAGGTTTACAAATTAAAAATAATTTGTTCAGTTTTATCTCGGGCCAAGCTACAACTGATAGGTTGCCTGTATGTTTGAAAGTTGTATAATCTAGTTTATTGCAAACTTCAGCTAACTTGGAAGTCAGTTTGTCTTGTCCCCTACCCCAAATTCGTTGTCCTTTTGGTGTGCTAGAAATAAGGGGAAGGGCTTCTGGGTTTTCTGAACTGTTCATGTAGTAGGCAAAGGAATATTGGCTGACATCATTTGAAGTTGTTACAATTAATATTGTAGGTGGCAAATGGTAACTAAAGATGTACACCAAGTCCATTGCACATTTTTTTTATACTGTACATCTTACTCTAGAAGCACCTAGGCTAATGGACAGGCACTTTAATACAAACCTAAATAAAACATCCTAGCAAAATGAATAGAAGCTCCTGCTACACAGGAATTTGTAATGTTTCAAAAAAGTGAAGAACTGTTACTTTTCCCATATTTAGGCATGCACTTTTACCTTAGTTTGTCTTACCTGAGACAAATTAAAGCTTCCCTTATATATTCCCCTTTTACTGTCAGCAAAATATGGCAGCAAATACCCTTTGGTAAAAGCAGGAAGATTTTATTAATGTTCTGCAAGTCAGAGGTTGGAATCTGAATAGCAAATGTTTGGCTTATTCAAATGTATATTGTTATGGGAGCTAAAGCTTCCTGAAGCCAACGGAAAAACTTACGACGACTTCAGTGTAAGATCAACGCAGGAAAAACCACCCTTCTGACAATTGTAGCTTTAGAAGTAATTTTGACTTTAATGAATTAGAAATTTGGGAACCAGATGTGTTTCTCTCTACCTAACTTAGCTACTGTTGAATTTTCTGTGCTTAAGTAACCAGTTGAAGGAACTGGACTCTTGCCTGCACAGAGTCTTGTAGTAACAAGGTCAAAAATACGCCGTTGAAGTATTTCCAATGTAGTGAAGGTGAATGATAACGCACTATCACTCCTAAAAATGTTTTTGGTTTCAGGCCTGGTTCAAAATCCATTTCAGTGGATTTGTAAGACAGAATGTAATTTCCATTTTTCATAATGACACTCTTTATAATTCCAAAAATATCTTTGTTGCTTTATACTTTTAAAATTTATTTTATAAGCAGAACTGCAACTCTGTATGGAGTCCTTTGTTTTAAGGACTAAAAGTTCACAGAATCACAGAATGGCCAGGGTTGGAAGGGCCCTCAGGAGCTCACCCAGTCCCACCCCCCTGCTCAAGCAGGCTCACCCAGAGCAGGGGGCACAGGACAGCGTCCAGGCGGGGGTTGAATATCTCCAGAGAAGGAGACTCCACAGCCCCCCTGGGCAGCCTGGGCCAGGGCTCGGGCACCCTCAGAGTAAAAAAGTGCTTTCTCATGTTCAACTGGAAGCTCTTCTGCTTCAGTTTGTGCCCCCTGCCCCTTGTCCTGTAGCTGGGCACCACTGAGAAGAGTCTGGCTCCGTCCTTGTGACATCCACCCTTGAGGTATTTGTACATGTTGATGAGGTCCCCTTTCAGTCTTCTCTTCTTCAGGCTAAACAAGCCCAGCTCACTCAGCCTTTCCTCACAGGGGAGATGCTCCAGTCCCCTCATCATCCTAGTTGCTCTCCTCTGAACTCTCTAGGAGTTCCTCATCTTTCTTGAACCGGGGAGCCCAGAACTGGGCACAGTACTCAAGTTGACTGAAAGGGAATCCAGTTGGGTTACTGCTCCTGACCAGGTTTTGTAACATGGTGTTTCCAGTCAAAGAATAATGTAGAAATGATAGCTCTTTTTTGATCACATATTGACAGGTTCTAAAATCTAAATTTGGCTAAAGTAGGTATCAGAACTACAAAGGACTCTGTTAAAGACCATTACAATTAGTAATTTATAGAGGTCATTTTCCTTGCCTTTTGATAGATGATGTAAACTTTTATTCTGGGGCTCTAGCAACTCCAAGGAAACTTCTGAAATGGCGGCGTTCCAAGGAGCACCCTCCGGTGGTGAATGATGCCCATCACCACAGACAAGTTCGCCTTGGTTCGTGGCTCCAGCCTTTCTGCCTCCTGGTATCAGTAGGGAGATTAACTCCAGTGAGCACAAATGTTTGAGATTTCATCCACTCGTTCCGTTTATGTGGTTTCTGATCCATTAGGACTTTCATTGGCAGTGCCTGTAAACATTACAGACTTTTCTTTTTGTGCCGGCTCGTGATTTGGCAGTTTAGAAAAATGTCTTCTGAGCCACGATGCCCCTGAACAGAAGTTCAGGTAGGAGAATAGTTAGGTCACTAAGAGAGGAAGCCTGCGCGATCTTACTGAAAAGGGGCCCTCATTTAGGAGGGGACCCTCTGTTGCGGGGGAACATATGTTCTTAATAATAGAACTCAGTATGAAAAAACCCTCTAACCTGAAACCTTGCAAATTGTTGTTTAGAAGTATTTGAACACTGCTGACTTAGTACCATTGTTTCTGCTTCGAAGTACCTAAGGAAAAGAAAATCAGCTTGAACATCTATGAGCTGTTGAACAATGGTAAAACTATTTTTCCTTCTTTCCTTGTGCAAGCTCCTGTTTGCAGGGGGGATTCTCAGGCGGCAGCAGGCTTTGGCGTTCACCCCTTGATTCTGCAGCCAGACCTGCAGGCGGATTCCCACTGATGTCCTAGTCCTTCACTGAGGGTCACCCTCTGGACTAGGCTGCTCAATTTTTTGACACAGTACTGTGCATTCAGTTGTGCCAAACAGGACCCTGACTCGTACCGATTTCCTTCTGTCTACTGAGTAGGTTTGGAAGGTGTATTTTCGTATGAGGTTTTCATAATTTTGTACATACTCTTTCCTATAATTTAAAGACCAGAATTAGAACTGGAAAATTGTTTAAGAGTGTGATGCTGACGATTCCTTTGCACAAGCAAGCCTTACTTGGAGTCAGTGAGGAACACTTGTCGGGAATTGCAGGATCGAGTCCTCGGTTAGGACTTTTCATATTGAGTTCTCCACGTGCTACTCTGCACTAACTTGGTTTTTTTAAAAAACCAAATCCTTATCTTATAAGGTGGTGATTAGCATTTTAACTTGTAGTAACAGGGAAGTTTGGGAATGAGCTGAAATTTTTCCATAGCTTGACTCTGTTAAGTTCTGTAGTTGCAAAACATTAACTTTGTGGGGTTTTTGTTTTTATTGTAATAATTTTATAGATTTGTTGACATTTTTAACATGCACTATTTATAGTACTCTTAATGCAGGCTTACTATTTTGAGACTGAATATTCCAATGAACATGCAAACATTAGATATATGAAGATCTTGCTGGATTATCTCAGTTAAACCAACTGTGAAGCAGCTAATAGGGAAAAATAGTTGTTTTTTCACAGATAGGGTGTTTGGACGAAGAGGACTTTTAACATAAAACTCAGTGCTGGAAGACACGTTCCAACAGTGTTTCCTAGCAAAATGATCTGTTGCTATTTGTTCTGCTCCAGAATGTTTGGGGGGGTTGCTTTTTGTTACTTTTTGACGAAGGGAATGTAATTTAGAGGTCTTCACTGGCAAGTTTTCTATTAATTTTAAGCTTCTTTGAAAATCTACAGCAATTGGATGTTCTGCTGCAGGAAATCTATTCCCTGCTGAAGCGTTTCTCATTGAGCAATCTTTGTGTATGTGCTTCTAAGTACCTGCTTTGTTAATAATATGTATTTCAGTGTAAAGAGCATATTTTGTATGCAAAAATGAAACCTGTTAGAGTTGTAAAATAAATAAATTTTATCGTGTAGTGAATGTTTCAGATGAGAAGGTTAATTCTCAAATAACTATATCTAGTGTAGTTAATGTTGTGAAGCTTTGCTTTTGTAAGATATGAATAAAATAACACTTTCTACTTAAGTCTCATGTTAATTCTTAATTACACACACTTTGACAGCTGGAACTGGTGAACTGCTCATGGCCAGCTGTGGTCTAGATGGAAGGAAAAGCTTACCTTTTGGGTAAGCAAGTTTCAGTCTGCTCAAGTCAAAAATGCTTAATTTTAGTGCTGAACCAGGACATGCTTTTACTTCTTTCCACTGTTAATCTTGCACATTTGGTTATCTTGCAGTGTCTTTGTTTCCTCATACTCCTCTTGCATTATCAAGGGTGCTTGTATGTCTGAAATCAGGGGTTTTATCATGGTAAGGTGGTTGTCACTGCATATGGAACTTCTGTGAGTGGTGTTAGATACTTGGAAGGCAGCACCGAATGTCAAGTTCCTTTGGACACTGGAGTTAATCCGACACGTGTGCGTGCAACTCTCAAGAGCCTGAATTTAACTGCACCTCAAACTTCTTGTTTTTCGCAAAGTTTCTGACGGGGAAACAAGCAGACAAGCCAAGAGCCTGATCTAAAAAAGGGACTTAACTGAAGTGGGACTTGGATTCAACTTAGGTGCTGACTTCCTGACTTTGGCTGCTGTAGGTCGTTGTCCCCACGTCATGCCTTTAGTGCTGAACTCCATCTTGCTTTCCAGAGCATGTGTGCCCTGGAAACACTCAGCTGCCCCTTGGACAGCATGGGGCAGGTCACTGCCCAAGGTGCTCTTCACAGTCTCGGCTGTGGGGCTCTGAGAAGGCTGATCCAGCTGGAAGTTGGCCCTGCTGTAAGCAGGGAACAGGACTAGATGGCTCCTAGGTGTTCTTCCCAGGCTACCTTTTCCTATAAATCTGTGAAATTTAAAATCTAAGGATGGTTTATTGTTGGCTTGATCTTCCAAGTCAAACACGGTACGCCAGACTGCATTTCTCTTCCATAATATGGGGAGAGGAGTCGCAGAAGGCACGAGCCTCAGGAGAAGGAAGCAGTATCTCAGATGTTTTCAGCTGTAGTATGCAGAGAGTACTGCATTTTTAACATTCTGGACGCTTAAAAAACCACCAACTTTCTCTATGTCATTATCTTAAAATGTATTTATTAACTACAGCGGTTGCCTCATGCTGGAATGAAGAAGTTACACTTGTAGTGGGGTCAGAATATGGACTTTGTATGCAAATTTGGGTTTCCAAATTACTTCCTTGGCGCAAGTTTTCTAAAAATTCCACTTTGAGTTTGTTGAGTTCTTCTGCCAGGCTCTTCATCTCACTTGGGAGTACGTTTTTATCTAAAAAGAAATTAAAGCTGCACTTTTAACTTCACATTTAAAGACAAAAGTTATGGTCTTTGACTCACATTCTAACTGACCAAATTTTGGAAGGAGATTGCCTCAATCACACCTGTGGGGTTGAGATTCCTTAACAATTTACCCCAAGGGAATTTCATCTGTTTAGTCTAGGTCACAGGCTCACACCTGGAACACACTATACGTACCTTTTGCGTCCTTCATTGTCTGAGAGATGATGCGTCTGCAGGCCTGGTCAGCCTGGTGGACAGCACTAGCCGCGCAGATTGCTCGATCTGCTTCCTGTCCAGGGTGACCAACAGAAAAGAGGTGCAAACTCGTTAAATTTGGTTCAGACTGTCATCAGCTTTTGAAACGCTCTTTGAAAGCACATAACAGCAGCGGGTGGGTGGCTGGTGCAGTGTGCGCCCCGCACCCTTGAATTCAGAGGCAGGTGTGTGGGCCTGGGCACCTGCCAGAGACAGGTGTGTGCGACATTAGGGAGTGAACATTATTTTCCTTAGCATGACACGAGAGCTCCAAAAGGCAATCCTTTTACTACTGTAGAATATTAACAGTATTCTTAAAGGTTGTTCAGTGCTTTAACTTAATAAGGTGACCGAAGTACCGGTTTCAAAGAGGATTCACTTTTCTGTGTACGCTTTTGCGATCAAGAAATGCACTAGCTATTTCTCAATTTCTGCCATCGCGGGTACCCGAATCCCGTTCAGGAATAACAATTAACTCGTTCGCTGTCACGCAAAGGAGCCGTGACTGCGAAGGCAAGCAGTGCTACCTTTTGTTCAGTGTTTTCCTCATTTTGCTTCACTGGATTTTCCAAAGCAGTGGCCAGCAAACTAATTATCTGCTCACTAAGGAAACAAACAAAAGGGTACACCACATTAACTGAACAGTTTCGCTAAAGATTTTTCTTTTGTTTTGTAGTGACACAGTAAAAAAAAGCAAGTTTTCAGTTAAATTATGAGGTAATCAATGAAATAATCTTTATACAGCAAATTAGACCAAACCCAACTACAACTAAAACTACAGCCAGTTACTTCCAGTCTTAATGTTTCAGACAGTTTACAGACATTTTCAACAGCAGTTCAGAAGTGCAGTCAGGTTTAATGTTAACTCTGCAAAGAATGATGGCTGCGAGCTCTCAACAACTGGCATGTATTGTGTGTAACTGCCTGCCCCCAAATCACCACACGGCACACTTTCTACATGCTGTTTAGACACAGTAAAAAGCTTCTACCCGCCCGTTTACGAAAGCATTACTTATTGAAAACCCTCGCATCAATCCAGCAGCGTACTTATCCTCTGAAGCACAATCAAAACTTTTCAGAATGAGGCTGTTCTGTTCCCAAGCATTTTTCTTGAGATCTGGCATTTCTATTTTTCTCGCCATTAAACATATTGTCTGGTCAGGTAGCGGATGACTTCTTAGACGATTTCTCTGCAAGCAGCATTCGAGTGGACACTCTAAAAATAACTGGCAGAAGCTCAAGGCATCTAAAAGAACACACAGAGACAATTCTACCTTTAAACTGTTCAAGTAATAACTTCTGAGAGTGACATGCACGAGAAAGGCTTTACGTGAATGAGTAACTTCTACACTAGTTCTGAGCCTGAAAAGGAACACGAACCTAAGAAGAATACGAGCAATTTTACCTTCAAGGCTGCTCGAGTAGTAATTTCTGAGATCAACATAAGTAAGAAAGGCTTTAAGTGACCTAGCAACTTCTAACAGTACAGTAATAAAGTTGACGGTTAAGAATAAGGAATGTTCCGCAAGAGGACTTAAGAGAAAGGCAGCTGAAGAGAACTGAATTTCCTTCAAAGCTGAAAACGTTCTTATGCAGAGGAAGGACGAGTAATTACATTTGCGAGCCAGCTGGTACACCTCGTATCTCATGCTCCGGTAATAAAAATTGTCATCCAGGATCAGGTAGAGCGGCCTGGCCGTGGCTGCAGCCGTCCCGCGATGGCCGGCTCCGGCGCGGCTCCTC